TATCAGTGAATGTTTATTCTTTTAGTTGGAAATCTCTAAAAACTGAAAAGAAAGAAGAAAAGCAGTATAAAATATATTCTCTAAGAATAACAAAAAATAAAATGGATAAGCATGTAAATTTGTTATATTTAAAAAAATGAAGAAAAATCACATTACCGTTTAATAAAGAATTTATCTAGATTAGTTAGATCACAAATCACGAAGCATAAAAAAAGATTTATATTTGTGAAAGATGCCTAACATACTACGATTTAGTAGAACAATTAACAAATTATGAAACTAATTGTAAAGAAAAAAAATGAGAAAGATTGAAATGATTGAAGGAAGTATTTGCTTTGAAAACTTTAAAAAATCATTGAGGATTCCATTTGTGATATATGCTGATTTTGAATGTCTAACTCAGAAAATAAAGTCATGTCAACCAGATCCATCTGAGTATTTTACAATGAAATATCAGCATCATGAACCAATGAGTTTTTCTTATTACATAAAGTATGTTCTTGGAAATTATAAGGAACCAGTTGTATACAGAGTGTCTGATGCAGTAAAAAAGTTTATAGAGATGTTAAAAAAGGAAGTTGAAAAAATTGAAAAAATATATTGTGATATTAAACCAATAAATATGACTGCAGAAGATGAAGAACATTTTAAAAATATCTCCCCACCACATATACTGCCATATATGTGGTGGGGAGATATATACTCAGATAATACAAGGAATGGAAAAATGAAATAAAGTTGCAGACTATGATCATTTGACAGGTAAATACAGAGGACCAGCTCATAATGCATGTAATTTAAAATATCGAAACCCTAAATTTATACCAGTATTCATTCATAATCTAACTGAATATGATGCCCATTTATTTGACAAAGAACTTGGATATGATACAGAGCCAATTAGTTTGATACCAAACAATAAGGAGAGATATACAAGGTCTGTTCAAAAAGTATCGAACCTTTTTTTTCCGCGTAAACCAATAATGCGCGACAAGCCTTCTTCGGTGGAGTTGTGGAGGGGACAGTCATGCACAACCCTGAATTTTTTCCCGCCTGCAGGAAGCGTCAGTCGTTGGCAATCGGCCTATGAGTGAGGTCATGTAGTGCGCTCTCGTCAGACTCCACTTAGCTGCAAAATGATTGAACAACGTGAGCAGCGATATTACATCAAATTTTGCCGAAAACCTTGGCGATACCCTAGCGTAAACCATTCGCAAGATTCAGCAGGCTTTCGGGGACAATTCTCGAGGCCAGAAAAAGCGCGGCAGGTCCGCAGCAATATCAAAGGTCACGTTCACAGTTTTTTCGACTCTCGTGGGGTGCTGTATCGTGAGTACGCACCACAAGGCAAAACCATCGCAAAGGAGTACTAGCAGGAGGTCCTTCGTCGTCTTTTCGATGCTGTGCGACGCAAACGACCGGATCTGTGGTCGATCAAAACTTGGCAGCGCCATCGTGATAACGCATCCGCCCATTCTGCGCATCTGATTCAGGCTTTCGTCGCCAAACATAACACTCCTGTGGTTCGTCACACTTCGTACTCTCCCCACCTGGCTTCGTGTGACCTTTGGTTATTTCCCAAGCTGAAAATTCCACGAAAAAAAGTCATCGAATTTAGTCAAGAGAAGACATCGTGCAAAATCCAACGAAGCGGCTGATGGCCATTCCAAAAGATGCGTTCCAGCAGTGTTTCCAGCAATGGCAGGAACGCTGAAAGAAGTGTATACATTACCAAGGAGAATACTTTTAAGAGGATTAGGGTTTTGTATATCAAAGTCAATACATTTATTTTTATTGACCAAAGATACGATACTTTTTGAACAGAACTTGTATGTCATTTACTAAAAAAATTGGAGATATGAAACTTAAGATTATAGATTCATTTAAATTTATGGCAAGTAGTATTGATAATCTTTCCAGTAATTTGAAAAATGATCAGTTTAGAGAAACATCTATGTTTTTTCCTAATCACCTATTAGATTTAGTTATAAGAAAAATGTTTTTCCTTATGATTATATGGATTCTTGGGAGAAATGCAAAATGGATAAAAGTTCTAAAAAGTCCAAAATAAGAGTTCTATAGTATATTACATGAATGTGGTATAACGGATAAAGATTATGAACATGCAGAAAATGTATGGGAAGCATTTAAGATTAAAAATATAAATGAACTAGCTGTTACCCGCGACTTCGTCTGCAGAGGTTTTGCAAGCAAACCCCATTTACATTCAATATTTCAATAACCATACTAATTGTTAGATCTATATAACATCTACCGCTGAAGAGAATTGCCGAGAATCAAACAAACTATTTTCAATTTGATCAATTTTCTGGAGCGTTTACAATCGTTCTATAATCGAACCAATGTGCAATAACAAATTCGAATTTAAAACGGTTCAAACATCTTTAAAATCGAAACAGATAAAAATATTTATAACAATGTCTGAAATGTTATCAATTTAATACACCTAAGTACTCAATAAAGACTAAATGTAGTTGAAAACAAAAAATCGCATCTAAAATAGTACAGTAGAAGCCATTCTTCCGGTTAAGCTTAATCCTCTCCCTCTCCCCCCGCGGGAGAATTTAGAAAAATCCCTTCTTAGTGTCCATTCTCATGGCATACCCTACTAAAACGCATACAATACGAATACGAAATAACAAATTCGAATTTAAAACGGTTCGAACATTTTTAAAATCGAAATGGATAAAAATATTTATAACAATGTCTGAAATGTTATCAATTTAATACACCTAAGTACTCAATAAAGACTAAATGTAGTTGAAAACAAAAAATCGCATCTAAAATAGTACAGTAAAAGCCGTTCTTATGGTTAAACCTTAATCCTCTCCCTTTCCCCCCGCGGGGAAATTTAGAAAAATCCCTTATTAGTGTTATTTGCCATGACTTACCCTACTAAAACGCAAATAAAAACAAAAAATCGCATCTAAAATAGTACAGTAGAAGCCGTTCTTCTGATTATGCCTTAATGCTCTCCCTCACCCCCCGTGGGGGAATTTCTAAAAATCCCTTCTTAGCGTGCATTGCCATGACTTACCCTACTAAAACGCACATAAAAACAAAATATCGCATCTAAAATAGTACAGTAGAAGCCGTTCTTCCGACTAAGCCTTAATGCTCTCCCTCTTTCCCCCCACTTGGGAATTTCGAAAAATCCCTTCTTAGTGTGCGTTTTCATGACGAACCCTAACTGTGTACCAAATTTCTGCTCTTTAGGTCCAGCGGTTTGCTCTGGGCAATGATGAATCAGAGAGTCAGTTAGTCAGTCAGTCAGGCCAAGCAATTTAATATATATAGATATTCTGATTTATATGTTAAAACAGATGTTTTGATACTAGGAGACATCTTTGAGAATTTTACAGATGTATGTATGAAAACATAAATTGGACGCAGCATGGTATTCTCAGCAACTGGATTATCATGGGAAGCAATGTTGAGGGTGACTGGTGTAGAATTACAGTTGTTGAGTGATTATGATATGATTTTGATAATAGAAAAAGGTTTAAAAAACTGCAATGTAGCACAATAATCAACACATGGCATAACTCATTCATTTATTCCAGCTTTTGTTGATCTGTTTAAAAACTGCAATGTAGCACAGTAATCAACACATGGCATAACTCATTCATTTATTCCAGCTTTTTGTTGAGACGCGTTTCTACACACGTTTCGGGCTCCGTTTTTGCCCCTCCTCTGTCAACTAAAACATATAAAAACTAATTATATACATATAACCCGACATATGAATTAAAAAACAACAAAAATAAAAGTATATTTCGTTGGTATATACAAGTAAGACATAACATACCATTTTTTAAATAAATTCCTTCTCTGGATGTATTTTTTTTCCCGAACGGGAATGATACTCTATATACTTGATTATTTCAGATACCAGGTTGGAGATTTAGTCTCATTTCTTCACGCTTCAGACACAGACTGTCTTATTTAAACTCCACTATACTTTGAAGACCATAAAAACAACACAATTAGTGTACTCAACATGTAGGTATTAACAATATACAGAATTTTTTCTTACATACTTAGTCACAGTAGAGTTCTTGAGGTGTCATAAAGGATTACAATGGACATGTGGCAGAGTTCTTCTTTTTCCGTATGTTCCTTATAATTCCTCTATCCGTATCCTCTTTGTATCTCATTCGTTAGTGTTGAAATATTAATACTATTTTATGTACAATTAATATTAAGCTTTCTTTCTATTAATAGTTTACTATTATAACATAAAGGTAAATAATTCTTACCTAAACAAATTTGCCACATTTCGCAGATTTTAATTGCTCTATTTTTTCACGGTTGTTTGTATCACCATACTTTCTTCTGAAAAATTTTCGTATAAAGATTCCCCAGAAGAACCTAGTTTTTAGTTGAACCTGAGTATTAGACTACATTCCAAATTTATCCTTACATACTTGTTTACTTAGGTTTTCTTAAGTATCTGGAAAGACCTCTAATGAGCTTCTAGCACATTTTTTCTTCTTTAATATTTATATCGATACTAATTCATATCAATTTTATATTATTAAACTTTTCATTTTTATCAACTCTCTATCTTTATGTATTATTATTAATAATCTTTACCTAAGTAACTAGACCTCACTTTCTTAATTCCGTTCTTTCAACTCCTCGATTCTAGAGGTGTTTCCATTCTATGATGATTTACATAACAATATGGTTTCTGGTAGGCAAAATTTAATTATGTTTCGTATTTCTTTTAAATACCACTCTAAAAGTATTTTGAATTTTTTTCCTTTTTTTTATTTTCCAAAAATTCTCCTTTTTTCAAATAATTTTTCTTTCCAAATTCTTTTACAGTATTTTTAGCCAATTATCGTTAATTTTTAAACTTAAGTTTTTATTTATACAATGTCTATTTTTTATAATTTCTATACTCTCTTTAAATTTTCTGTGATAAGTTTCTTTTTCTTTATGTAGGATTTTTACATTATTTTGGTCAATATTACAGTTATTCAACGTGCAATGTTCGAGAAAGGCTGAATTATTTCTATTATGTTTTAGATCTGCTACGTGTTCTTTTAGTCTAACTTCCATTTTTCTCTTTGTTTCTCCTATGTCATATTTTTTATTTTCACATGTACATGGAATTTGGTATACTACGTTTTCTGTATCTTTCACTTGTTGTCTTCCTGTTGACCTAGTTGTATTATTATTATTTAATCTGGCAAGAAAATTTTTATATTTCGGGGCAAGTTTTACATTAGTATGTCTTATTTCTTTATTAATTTTTTCATATAAACCTTTAATATAAGGAAATGGAATATATTTCATTTTATTTTCATTTGAAATCTTTCCATTATCTATTTCATTCTTTTCAGGATTCTTTTTATTATTTACGTTGTTGATTTTTTCTTCCCAGTTTGTAAGTAACCTGTTGGGGTATCCATTTAACAAGAATTTTTTCTTTAAACTTTTAATATCATTATCTATGTCCATACATTTACTAGTTCTATTTTTTATCTTATTATATTCCATAGAAAATATATTTTGCTTTATATATAGTGGTATATTTCAGTTATATTTTACTGTTGTTTGCATTGAACTTGACTTTTTGAAAGTCTTAAATTTGAATTCATTCTTTTTTCTTATTATTGTAATATCTAAGTAATTTATCTCTTGATTAATTTCTGTTTCTGTTGTAAATTGTATCGTTTTTGTTATTTTGTTTATTA